TACTTTGATGATAGCTTCGTATTTGTACTTCGATTCACTCTGGAATGTTTCCATGTTTATGTCAAGAAAATAATACTGTCTGTTATGGTTTGATTTTTATATATTTTCTGCCGAGACTGTGTGTTTAGGAGTTGTTGGATACATGTGAATAGTTCCAGAGTTTATTGTTTAAGTATATCTCTGCATGCCTATAATAACACGCTTTATATATAACATTCCACTCGGCATATTCTTTCAACATGTGTGATTACACAACAGATACCATGGCCGCCAACAACCGACTGACCCAGGCAGCGCACATCATTGACGGATTCCACACCGTGATGCGAGCCCACCGTAAGGAAGTACAGATTGTTGTCACCACGGCACAGCCCCTAGATTCGTCCAGCGAGACTGCCATAAAGAAGCAGCTGAAACAGTATGTGCAAATATTCAAGTTGCATATATTACTTCGCTGAACCTGCGGTCAAGCTTTTGTGCTAAGCCATGTTCTATTAGTAGCTGGAATTAACCTTGTCTTTGGTGATCTTAACGGATCCCTTTTTTTTGTCATGCTTCAGTTCATTCTTCGAAAATAAGTTTCACCGCACACGTTATGGTGGTTGTAAACACTAAGTGTAAGTATCTGATTATATTATGCCACTGATTATACCATGCAACTGATTGTACTACCATGCAGATTTGTGCAAAAGGGAGAGACCCTTGTTCTTGATACCAAGGTGGACAGTAACCTTCTTGGCGGACTAGTAGTTGAGATTGGGGACAACCGTGTAGACCTGAGTATCGCCACTCGCATCAAGAATGTCTGCAACGAGCTTCGCGCCTCCATCTAAGCTTAGAAATTGCTGTGTGTGGAGTGAGGTGTAATCGGACGAGCGATTGAAGGAGAATATCCTACGCACACACCCGGAAGAAGTCAACTGACTGTCAAGTTTCAAAAGCCGCTGAACAATGCAAATAAAGTTTTCTCGAAAAGAAGAGAAGTGTCCGTTTGTATTTTTAGAAATATTTTTATCTGACTTAACTTCCCATTCGCCAAATCCGCACTTCAAACAGATCATCCGCATCGAACAAAACATAAATATTTAAATTTTTTTTTACCAAGAGCCGGAAGACGGTCTCAGATTACATTTCAAACTCAGGTCTCAGGAGTATGAGCCTCTGAGGCACTGATAGTCTGGAGTGTTTCATCTGAAGGCTAAATATGCTCTGAGCGGCTCATGAGATTCTCTCACTTTGACTCGGATATACAAAATATTCCATGTATGTACTCCCAGCGAGTGAGAGCGCCAGCTTGATATATATATAATGTATACTTCTTGCGCGTATTGCCAGATGTCGATTCTTGTTGAATATTGTGGTAAAAGTTAATTTTCTCGAGAACCAGGAAGGAGACAATGTCCACACTACCTTATTTACCACAAGACTTTTTGGAGAACATTTTGATACGAGTAGATATTAGCAACCATGCGCAGATATTTTCGACATGCAAAGCGCTCAGAGCCACGGGACAATCCTGGTATGTACGCCGAGGAATTCTGGTCAGAAAAACGCTGCCTTCGAACAATATACAGTTATACTGAAAACGGTGCTCAGGGCATGACATCAGGACTACGCGATGGGTAAAGGCTTCGGCCAACTTGCAGGCATTTATCAATCAGGCATTGAAGTGGGGAGGCAAAAAAATGCTCAGACAAGTGGTAGATCGCATGCGTTACTTGTCACCGAAGATGTGTTCCTGCAGTGTTGTATGCTTGGGTTGACAGATATTGTGAAGTACATGCTACATAGGAAACTCGGAGACCCCACTATTCGAGACAACATGGCCATCCGGATGGCCTGTAGAGATGGAGATACAAGTATTGTAGAGATACTTCTTGACGATCCCAATGTGGATGCCGATGCCGACGATGGGTTCTGTATAATCATATCGAGCATACACGGGAGGAGCGATATTGTCAAAATGTTACTAGCAAATGGGCGCGTAAATCCTGCTGTAGATGACAATTATGCACTCGAAAAGGCATGTGAAAATGGTCATTAAGAGACTGTCAAGTTGTTATTAGAGTGTGGGGGTATACGCATAGATCCTGCAGTTGACGACTTTTATCCCTTGCGATCGGCTAGTAAGAATGGGTAGTACAGATACTTATTTGGAGCCCATTGACCGATTCTGAGGACGATAAGGAGGTTTTACGACAGATGCTGAATGATTCAAGCTTTGGACCAGTAGATGATTTTCACGCCAGAAGCTGCATGCTGAAAATTTTGCAAAGTGCTTGAGCGGTATAATACCACACACTAGCAGGAGAAGGACGAGGATTCTTTACTTTACGATGTGTGAAAGCTTCACCACGAAATTAGATTGTGGAACAAAACTTTTAAACCATTACGAAGGAAGGTTTTCACGTACTGAAAAGGTGGTTCATTATTAGCTTTTACTCTTGTATGCGCCTTGAACAAGGTTTGTAAACACGAACTAGTCCTGCTGACATGTTCGAATCCTACCAAGTAGGATGTAGCTTGTATTTTTACCGTAAAATTCAGTATAAAACGGCGCAATAAAACACGGCTGGGACGCCGCGAGGGCTGAAAGCTCGTAATCGGAGGGGTAATTCATTTGTTCATAATCACGTATATAAGCAACCTTTTTAGAAAAAAACCAAAACAAAATTATACAAAAACTGGTGAGCCGTTCTTCTGAAATAAGGAAGGACTCCAAGGGGGTCTACAAATGGGTCAAATAGCGTCACGGACGTCTTTTGTCGACCGACAAAAAATCGGTGATAAAGTTGACAGGGACTTAGAAAAGCTTCCGCTTTCAGTAATAAAAGAATATGGATTTGTGGTACAGCCACGGGTACTTTTGGTGATTTCAGATTTGTGTGACTTCAAAAAATATCATCTCTAAAAAGTTAACTCTTTTTGTCTGGCACTTTTATGTACGCTATTCTTAAAATTTGAGACCTATTCTTATTTGACTACCTATGTATGTGCGATGAGTGCACACCTCGGCGCAGGACTGCCACTTGTAGTAGCATACAGAGGTTGAGCAAAGGACAGGGAATAAAATAATAACAAGGATGATATAGTATAATTGCGAGCTGGAAAGACCCTACCACTTGCACCACGGTTGCTAAATTAGCCAACGATTCTATTAAAGAGTCTTACTGTGCAATAACGGAAAAGTTCGCTGTTCAAGTATATTCTACCGCACGTGCTGCAATACGATTCATCAGTCTCAGGAGAGAATCTGCGGTCTAGATCCGAATAGGTCCGTGCAAAGACTCAAAAGATGCCAGATAAAATGAAGAGTACTGATGCAAAGGCATCGGAAGTGTCAGACGTTAAAGTGGACTGTGAATGTGTTGACCACTTGGAGAAAACGATAGTGGATACTGTAAGTAGTTTGGGTTTTCCCTTCCGTACTTGTGTGCATCTCAAAAAATCGATATAAATAAGTATATAT